TATCAAACGACTTCTGGTTCTCCAAGTATTCTTTTACTAGCCTCTTCAGGCTTTACAAATGATAGATGTTTTGAGTGTGTATGTGACTCTCATAGAGAGGATAGAATAGTTTCTACACTCACTAAGGTATTCAACCTTAGTTTTACAAGAATGTATTTAGAGTGTGTATGTAACTCTCACAGAGAGGATGGGGTAGTTTCTACACTCACTAAGACAAACTATCTTAGATTTACACGGATATTCAAATCTGAACAAGAAGAGATGTGAGATTGTTTTGACGTTTGTTTTTGCTTATTGCTTGTTTCTTTTCTTCCTCTTCCTTCTCTTCTCAGGTCTTGATATTTATAGCCTTGTGATAAATCTGCTCGTTGTTTGAATTTTAATGTATCCGTTGAGGTGGAGCTTTCCAAATGTTCGTTCATGGCTACACAAATCTTTTTCATTTAATGCGTTTGATCTTGCATTAAATGCTTTGCTTGCTGAATATGTGTTACGTGAAGTCCTTTGCGTAATTTGTTCCCTTTTATTTCTGACTTCAATCATGACCTATGTATGTTTGTCCTTTTTCCGTCATTGTAGCTATGGAGGCATTGCCTTTTTATGAAAAGTAGGTATACTTGGCCTGACATACACAACTTTGACTTGTGAATTCACACTCTTCAATTTTTCTTCTTTCTTTTCATATCTTTGATAACTCTGTGTGCTTTTCTTATGAATGGAGATGATATATGATCTTCTTTGTTGTGACTAGTGGACTTCAGATGTTTTTCATCATGCTTCATTTGCGTTTGGAAATTTGAGTCTCCGTCTAAGAGTTAGACTTTGACTTTTTCATCTCGTCTGATTGGTCGTGAAGGTGAATGGATTTTATCCTGTCTGGAATATTTCTTCGTCTTGTGTTTTCCACCAACTGATGTTTGTTTTTGTTGACCTTTGTGTGGTTGACCATTGAGCTTCATCTGATGTTTATTTGGTGCTGAGCCAACTTTGTCTTGGTCTAGTTTTGCTCTTGTTTCTGATTTCTTATGTTGTGCTCTGGATTGTTCTTGACATATCTTCGTTTGATATTCGTTAACATCTGGTGCACAATTCATGATCCTTCTATCATTTGGCTTTTGCCTAATCCTTGTTTTGTTCGACCATGCTTCATGCTTTAGTTTTGCCTGTTCTTATACATATCTAAAACACTACTACACATGTTAGTAATAACAATATGTATTATATTTGTCATATTCATAATCTCATTGGGAATTGCTTCGTCTGACTTAACAATTAATCCTTGGCCGAAAAATTAGTTGCACTTCTTAGGCCAAAATTACTCATCAAATAAATTACACTAAAAATTGCCTAATCTACTTGGCCCAGAAATACAAGGCCTAAAATAAGGAAACTATATATAAGTGTACAAGAGGCATTGGACTTATATATTTAGTAGTCTATAACTCAAGATGAACTTAGGCCCACTAACCTTATAATGAGTACAATCCTCTAAGGTCCTACTAACCTAGCCTACTCCTCTAAGCTCCTTTTAGATGACACCCCTAGGCATGATTTCATCATCTCCCCCCCCTTCGAGGATTTGTCCTCAAATATACTCCCTCTTCTTCCTCAACACCTGCAAAATAAAGTATTTCACAAGCACTAGAGATACTGTGTACTGGCAAAACATAGGATCCTATCTTAGAAATCCTTTTTAGGTATGGGATAGGTTTATTGTTTAGGATTTTTATATTTATATTAGTGGGGTTCTCTTGAAACTTTTTGGAACTAACTTCACTATCTAAACTATATTTTTCTATTTTTTTTCCATAGGAAGAGGTTTTTCACTAAAATCTAAGAAAACATGCCTTGGGTGTTATATCTAATTATTTATGCTCCTAAGAACTAAACTATTTACAAACAAATTTCCTTGCCTTTCATAAGGATGAAGTGATTGAGGATCACTTTAACAAAGAAACCTCTTCGAAAAAAAGTGTTGTCCCCAAGATTGGAAGGCTTGGAAGAGAGCATTGAACTATTGGCTATAAATGCGATAGTTGAAAGTGGTTCCATAAGAAGTTATTTCCAGATAAGCAATAGGATTCTCATCTTTCAACAAAACAATTCTCACACCTAATTTAGAAACATGATATTCTAGTTTAAAAGTTTTAGAAATGTTTTGAGGAACTAGAACATTTGCATTAGAGAGCTCCCTTTGCAAGGGTTAAAAGGTTTGCTCAGGCTTCTCTTCCCTAAAGAAAGGAACAATATTCTTTACTAACTCATTGAGTGGTGGTTCAAGAGCTTGTCGAAGATAGAAAGTCTTTATGATTTGACTTTTTAGATAAAAATGACTCTATTTTCTAACAATCTCTTGAGAAGAAATATCTACCACTTTTTCACTCTTATTTTCTAAGAGTTATTTTTGCTTGTCTTTTGCTTTTATAGGTTTCATTTGTGTTTGATTCTTTTCCACTTGTGTAGGTATAAAAAGATGTGATACAATTTTTTTTGTTGTCTTTATTAGTGAAAGTTATTTCATTATTAAGGCCATTATGCATGCATTTCTAGCCAAACTGTCATGGCTTTTCCAATAAGATATTACAAGCTTTTATGAGAACTACATCATATAAACTTTTATCTTTGTAATTCGCAATATAAAACTTGATCTTCACTTAATTATTGACTACCATAACCTATTTTTATTAAGTTATTGAAGCCTATAAGGATTGGGAAGAGGAATGGTAGTGGATGTTAGTTGTTCAACCAACATTGTGCTACAACAATTAATGCTTGACCCACTATTCATAATAGAGAACAAGTTTATTTAAAAAATTTACATCTTTTATGAAAGATGTTCTCTCTTTGTGAATTGTTGATTTCACAATATTGGTTTCCAAGAAGCCTTTTTATTAGAAGGAGGTTACCATCACATTGATAAACATTTCTACCCTATAATCTATCCCTTTTTCTTCTTCACTTCCACTAGAGATGAAGGAAGATACAGTCTCCTCTCAACTACTAAAATGATATAGGCCTCTCATGATCAAGTCAATAATGTCCCTATAAAGTAAGAGCCCTACCTTATCCCTTATTTCTAAAATTAGACCACTTAGAAATCTTGTAATGGTGATTTTTTCTTCTTCCTTAATCCAAACTCTCATCATGTATAGCTCCATTTTCTACCTATGCTATTTAACATACATGTTTCTTAGTTGGAACTTAGTTGTAAACTCCCAATAATAATAAGAGGGAATATGTCTTATCCTCAATGCTCCCCTCAACTCATTTCAATATTAAATTTGAGGGTCATTGTGGAGACTCCTTTCATGCTCTAAAATGGTTTACCAATACAGGACATACCTTTAAAAACTAAGTGTAGCCAAGAAAACTTTTCTCTCTTCACTTACTTGGTGGCAAGTGAAGAGTTGTTTCACATTTATTTCCCAATCTAGATCGGCTTCTTAATCATCTTTACCATGAAAGTAAGGGAGATCTACTCTAGATTCCCTCATCTTTACCTTGAATTCAAATTTTGGCTCCAACTTGCTATGTACTTCTAGATCTAAGATCTAAACTAGTCAATAAAAGAAGGCCACGTGACAAGCAAGAAAAGTGACATAAATTGAAGTTATGTGATTTAGCAGTTGAATTTGAATTTGATTACTTCATGTGCGCCACTTTGGTTGGCCATATGTGCAATCATATTCAATTTAATTATTATGAAGTCTCGTAGACTTAAATGCTTTTAAGATATATAATTTCATATATGTCCTATACACTATTATAATGCAATTAAGTTGCATTTCTTTCAAAAGCATTTGTAGTGCTATATAAGAAATTCAAGATTTTAATACACTTTATTATTACCAAAATATTATCTTAGAAATTAAACACATTATATGCCTTTGGTTTTAACATGGTCCAATTATATGATAATGTTAGGACAGAGGCTTAAGCCTCCTTTTATGTTGTTATGTTGGGTGACCTTGCTTTAATAGGACTATCACATTAGGGCTTGAAAATTTTGTTTTAAACATGTTTTTAGAGTTTTCTTTCAGCTTTAGTATTGAAGTATTGTAATGAATTTAGTGTCAAAAGCCTTATTACAACTTTAAATGTCCTTTTAATGAAGATTAAACTTGACATGAGATTTTAGTATGTGATGTTCATTATTTATTTGCAATTTATGAAAAAGTTGTTCTTTTATAATAAAACTTTGAAAGTATGTAATAAATGTGTTGGATTACCAATAAGTAGTTGATTAGAGTGATATTAGAGTCGATTTCATTTCATTAAGCAAAATCTTGAGTTTGAATCTTGTGTATAAAAAAAATGTGGTTGAAAGATGAGACTCTATTAAAGATGGTTAGTCAAGTTCTCTGATGAAGATTAGTTCAACAAAATTGATAAATATTTCATACCAATAACATGATTATAGAGAAAAAGAAATATGCTTTTAGTCCTTATAAAATAAACAAATTTTGATTTTAGTCCTTATTAAATTTTTTCTTTCTTTTTTATCTAAAATTTGTAAACATTATTTTTGATTTTGAAAAATGAACAAAAAATGGTTTTAATTCCTATATATATATATATATATATTACTTTCATCCTTCTAAAATTTAAAAGTTACTATGTTATTTTATAGTACATATTTGACATTTGTTTTAAAAATATATAAACAAAATATAAAATTTTTATATGTTAATAAAATATCACATATAATTGTAAATTAATAAGTATCACTTAATTGTCATATAAATAAATAAGTAGTTAAATTTTTTAAATAAATTATATAATAATAAAGACTTAAAAATATAATTTCAAATTTTAAAAAAATAAAAAATAATTTTCTTACAAAAAAATCTAAATCAAAACTTATTCTATTATAAAGACTTCAATTTTTATTTTTTTTATACACATGAAATATTTTAAACTTAACAATTAACATAATTTAAAAAAGAAATGTGTTGGAGGTAAATATCGTCCCATCTTGCAAACCAAAAGTAGAACCTTGAACCTTCTTAGATTTTTAATCGAGTTCCTGAACTCAGGTTACCGATACAAGCTACAAGAGTTGCCCTTTTCCCACACTTGAAGCGAAGGAAATGCAGGTGGCGCTGATCAGAAAAGAGAGATGAGAAGAGTCTCGGTGGCGCTTCTGAGGCGAGCTTCCCCGCATCAGCATCAGCACCACCACCACAATGCGCGACGCCGCGACTGCTCCTCCCTCCCTCCGCCGGAAGTGGTGGAGCCCTTCTGCGACCTCTCCGACGTCGTTTCGCCCCCTCAACGCTCCCCGTGGCTCCCCCAAATCCTGGCCCTCCTCGACGGCTCCCCCTCGATGGAGTCCAACCTCGACTCCTTCTGCCGCCGCTTCCTCATCACCCTCTCCCCCTCCTTCGTCTCCCACACACTCCGCTCGCTCTCGGATCCCCACATCGCCACGCGCTTCTTCTCATGGGCCGCGACCCAGCCCAACTACTCCCACTCCCTCGACTGCCACGTGTCCCTCCTCCCCCTCCTCCCCCCCGACGCCCTCCCCCGCGCCCTCCTCTCCCTCCGCCGCGCCCGCCTCCCCCTCACCCTCCCCGCCGCCCTCTCCCTCGCCAAAACCCTCGCCGCCGCCGCCCTCGTCGACGACCTCCTCTGGCTCCTCCGCGCCATGCGGGAGGCCAACCTCCCGCCCTCGCTCCTCGCGCACAACTCCCTCCTCAACGCGCTGGTCAACGCCTCCCTCGTCGACTCCGCCCAGCGCGTGCTCTCCGCCATGCGCGACGGCGCGTGCCCCACCAAACCCGACCTCGTCAGCTACAACACGCTCCTCAAGGGGCTCTGCAAGGCGGGGAGAACGCGTTCCGCGTTCGCCACCCTCCGCGAAATGGAGGACGAAAACATCCTCCCCGATGAGATCACTTACATGACCCTGATTCAGGCGTGTTACAACGAGGGCGACGTGGACTCCGTTTTGAGGCTCTACCATGAGATGGAGGATAGGGGAATTGCAGTTCCTCCTCACGCTGTTAGTTTAGTGGTGTGTGGGTTGTGCAAGGAGGGGAAGGTTCTGGAGGGTTGTGCTGTGTTTGAGAGTATGGTTAGGAAAGGTTGTAGGGCTCATAAGGCGGTTTACACCGCGATAATTGATGGTTATGCCAAGAGTGGGAGCTTGGAGAAGGCCATGGCGTTTTTCGAGAGGATGAAGGTGGATGGGGTGGAGCCGGATGAGGTTACTTATGGGGCTGTTGTTGGTGGGTTGTGTAAGAGTGGGAGAGTGGAGGAGGCTATGGAGTGTTTAAGGTTTTGTAAGGGGAATGGCATGGCGGTGAATGCCGTGTTTTATTCGAGTTTGATTGATGGGCTTGGGAAGGCGGGGAGGGTGGATGAGGCGGAGAGGCTGTTTGAGGAGATGGTGGAGGACGGGTGTCCGCAGGATTCCTATTGTTATAATGCTCTTATGGATGGTATGTGCAAGAGTGGGAGGGTTGATGAGGCTTTGGTGTTGTATAGGCGGATGGAGCGGGAGGGGTGTGAGCAGACTGTTTATACCTATACTATACTCATTAGTGAGCTTTTCAAGGAGAGGAGGAATGAGGAGGCGTTGAAGCTGTGGGATGAGATGATTGACAAAGGCGTCACGCCGAATGTGGCGTGTTTTAGGGCGCTTTCGATTGGATTGTGTCTCTCAGGGAAGGTTGCGAGGGCGTGCAGGGTGTTGGATGAGCTGGCCCCCATGGGGATTGTGTTGGATACGGCTTATGAGGACATGATTGGTGTGCTGTGCAAGGCTGGTCGTGTGAAGGAAGCCTGCAAGTTGGCTGATGGAATTGTGGATAGGGGTAGGGAAATACCGGGAAAGATTCGAACTGTGCTTATTAATGCCTTGAGGAAGGCAGGTAATGCAGATTTGGCGATAAAGTTGATGCATAGCAAGATTGGTATTGGGTATGACCGAATGCGTAGTGTTAAAAGGAGAGTGAAGTTCCAAACCCTCCTTGATGGTTGATTTTTTGATTTTGTAACTAGATATTGCACTAGAAAATTGGTGAAGGCCAAAGCCCGAAAATATAGTGCATCTATCAGAGTTGTTTCATAGGCAAACTTATGGAGTTGCTCAGCTGTTCGCCCAATGGTTGGTACCTGAAATTTTGTTATATGTTTTGTATATAGATAATTTCATTATCCCGTATTTTACCCCGAATGTTTGCCGTCTCACATTGACAGATGCTTAATTAAATATCTTCAGACTCTTGGCATGAGTAAATTGGATTGAAATTCCGGGCATAGTGGCTTTAGACTTATTTGGCATGTTTAAGGTTGTAAACCTGGCCAGACAAGAAGAGAAGTAATGATAGTTTTTCCCTATTTGGAGTCACGACATTGCTGCAGGCTTCATAAACACAGGCAAGGGTTGAGGATAGTTACTTTCAACATCTAACATTTACCTCCAACATGTCCAGTTTCATGTTGAATGGTGCTTATTTAAATCTCGTCAGCCTGTTTGTCCTCGTAACATTGGATTCAATATCCAGGTTTAGTGACCTATTTGGCATATTTAAAGTTATAAACTATACAAGGATAGAAGTAATGAGGGAATACTTAAAGGTGCACAACAGCATGTTTTGTGCGCTCTTATTTCTTGATTTTCCAGTTCAGTGGAAGTCTGCATATCTCATGTTGGAAACTGCACTAGAATACCGTGTGCTTTCTCTCCCAAGAACATGATCCCTCCTATTCATCAACTGTAACTGATAAGGAGTGGGAATGGGCTAGTTCTGTTACTGGATACTTAAAACTTTTAGATGAAATTATGAATGTATTTTCAGGCAACAAATTTCCTACAGCTAATATATATTTCCCTGAGATTTTTGTGATGTCCATATTCAATTAATTGACTGGTGCCGAAGTTCAGATAATTTTCTTAGTCCCATAGCTTTGAAGATGAAAGCCAAATTTGACAAGTACTGGAACAAGTGTAGTTTGGCTTTAGCTGTAGCTGCAGTCCTAGATCCGCGGTTCCAGATGAAGTTGGTTGAGTACTACTACTCCCTAATTTATAGTAGCACTGCTCTGGAGCGTATCAAGGAAGTTTCTGATGGTATCAAAGAACTTTTTAATGCATATTCCATCTGCTCAACTGTGATTGATCAAGGCTCAGCCTTGCCTGGCAGCAGTTTACCTAGTACTAGTTGTAGTTCCAGAGATGGGTTAAAAGGCTTTGACCGATTCCTTCACGAGAGATCAGAGTCAGTCCATGACTTCAGACTTGGACAAGTATTTAGAGGAACCAATCTTTCCTCGTAATTCTGATTTTAACATATTGAACTGGTGGAAAGTCCACATGCCAAGGTATCCAATTTTGTCTATGATGGTACATGATGTTCTAGGTACTCCAATGTCAACTCTGGCGCCGGAATTGGCATTTAGCACTGGGGGCAGAGTGCTAGATTTTTCTCGTAGTTCACTAAACTCAGATACACGTGAGGCTTTAATATGCACTCAAGATTGGCTCAGAAATGAATCTGGAGGTACCTAGTTATCTTCTGCCTTTTTCCACCTGTAGAATAATGTTGATTTATTGCTTATTCTGATGCATTATTTTTACTCTGACTCTTATCAGATATACTAAATCCATCCCCAATCCACTCTGCTGTACCTCTTCTCATCGAATGAAGTTACTTTTTCAAGGTATGCTTCTGTAAAACTTGTCTCTTGTTCCTAATCTCTCCGCATTTTATTGTTGAGCATTTTGCTTTCTACTTATTTATGGTATGTGCTTGTGTTTCAAGGGTGATGGGTCGGTTACCAGTTCATGAATAATCATTACCATTTTTTTATAATGTCAGGCCTTATTGAAGAAGCATCTTAGAGTTCTCAAGTTTGCCTTTGTTCCCTGTGTCATTTATAGCTGGGAAGTGCTTGCAAATATTCTGTGAAGATGCACTTGTATATTCTTTAGAACAACAATATAGATTTTTTTTTTAATATTTATAGATCTCATTTCCGTTAGATGTTTTTATTGGACTGGCATTAGGCTGAATCAAATTTTGTAGAGGGTTGCATGCCCTTGATATCAAAATGGCTCATTGCCTGAGTTTTCTTTCGCTTCACTGTTCATACAATAAGGTTGCACAAAATGAATGATCTTAACGAATGAAGATCTTAATGGTGGCTTGGTTTTAACTGTCACCATTAAGATAATGTCTTAGGTTCAATTGCCGTCTATCTTAAAATAATGTCTTTTGTCTTAAAATAATACTTAGTCAGGGAAAATTCTGCAATATTTTTGAAACACTGTATAAATGATGTCTATAAATAAAAATCGCAACTTTATTAATTTTAGTTCTAACAGTACCACAAAATTAAAATCAAAATTAAGACTGTATAATTGTAAAAAATTTGAAAAGATGCTTTTATCATGCATAGTTGTTGAAAGTGATCTTGCTGGCAGAGACCCTGCGCCGTTTTTTTTTGTTGTTTTTTTTTGTTGTTTTTTTTGTTGTTTTTTTTTAATCATCTTCCATCTCTTTACCATGGAAAATTTTTATCAAATTTTTTACTATGGTAACCAAAAATATTTATTTTGATACATAATTATATTTTTTTATTTCTAAAACTTGAAAGAACTTTATAAAAATTTATCAATTAGTTACAACAATCTTAAAAAGAAAACTTGATTCTAAATTAATTTTTTTTATAAAATATTTATCATGGAAATAAATTTTTTTTTTATAGATATTGTTACTAATGAGATCGAGTTACTAAATTCTATTTGGCTGTGGCAGAAGCTGAACATCGGTGATTATAGATAAAGATAATAAATTATTTTAAATAAGCTAATTTGTATAACTAATTGAAAATGTTTATATGGAGATAGAGACCTATTGAAAACATGATCTTTCATATGATTTAGCAATGATGGCAACTTATGATAATTAAATGTTTTGTTTTCACTTTTAAAGTTTTGTAAAGTTCCTCTTAGTATATAATAGTTGGTAGAATAATAGAAACTTATTTGTATTTAGAGAGTATCAGAAGTGGTAATAATTGTTGTTATAATGAAGTTCTAATTTGTCTATTTATAGGTATGGTGTTCCATCTCTAGATGATGGTGGAAATATTTAAAATTTTTTAGACTTTTCAAGTCTCTACATTCTTTTAGTTTTTTCTAGAGACTTATACATCTTTTATTATGTTTCTAGAATTTTCTTTTTCTTTCTTATACATCTTATTTTATGTTTCTAGAATTTTCTTTTTCTTTTCTAGAATTTGCATCATAATTTAACACTCTTCCTTGATGCAAATTTCGGTAACTCTAAGCATAGCCTGTAGTTGTTCAAACTTCACTCTTGGTAGTGCTTTTGTAAATATGTTTGCAACTTGATCTTCTGTTGAGCAGTATTCAGGTTGAATTTGTTTAGTTGTCTCTGCTTCTTTGATGAAGTGATATTTGATGGCTATGTGTTTCGTTCTTTGATGATGAACTGGATTCTTTGTCATTGCTATTGTTGATCTGTTGTCACAGTATATAATAGTTGGTCCATCTTGTTGTTCACTCATTTTTTCAAGTATTCTCTGTAGCCATATTGCTTGACTTGTAGTTTCAGCAGCTACTATATACTCTACTTCTGCTGTTGATTGTGCAATTGTTGCTTGCTTCTTTGACGCCCAAGAGAAAAATCTAGATCCTAGTGAGAAGGCATATCCTGATGTACTCTTCATGTCGTCTATTGATCCTGCCCAATCACTATCGGTATAGCCAATCATCCTTGATTTGGTCATGGTTTTATACCATATACCAAACTTCCTTGTGCCTTGTAGATATCTCAATATTCTTTTTCCTGTTCCATAGTGAATTTGACTTGGCTTTTGCATGAATCTTGATAGAAGACTTGTAGCGAACTTGTCAAATAAAGTAAACTTCCAACTAAACTCCTATATCGGGATGCATCAGCTTCTGGTGCTCCATCAACTTTTTGTAGTTTCTCATTCGTCACTAGCAGTGTACTTATAGGTTTGCACCTGTACATCTTAAATTTCTTCAATAAAAATTTTGTATATTTCTTTTATGAGATGAATATTCCATCATTTCTCTGACTTACCTCTATATCGAGGAAGTAACTCATCAAGCCAAGATCAGTCATCTCAAATGTCTTCATCATGTCTTCTTTAAACTCCATCATCATATTTTTATTAGTTCCAGTATCAATAAGATCATCTACATATAGGAGAGTAAGAGAGTATGTTGACCTTGAGTCTTGATGTATAGTGTAGGCTCACTCTTACTCCTCATGAATCCATGATCAGTGAAGTATTGGTCGATCTTGCTATACCATGTTCGAGGAGCTTGCTTCAAGCCATATGAAGCTTTCTTCAATCTCAACACTTTGCCTTCATGGCCTTTCATCACGAATCCTGGTGGTTGCTCCACATAGATCTCTTCTTCAAGTACGCCATTGAGGAATGCAGACTTGACATCTAATTGGTAGATGTTCCATCCTTTTTGTGCCGCAAGAGCTATTAGAGCTCTTATTGTGTCTAGGCGTGCGACTGGAGCAAATGTCTCATTGTAGTCCACTCTTGGTTGTTGTGAGTAGCCCTTAGCGATCAATCTTGCTTTGTGCTTTTGTATAGTTCCATCAGGATTAAGCTTTGTTTTATATACCCATTTTACTCCAATGATATCTTTTCCATGAGGGTAATCTACGAGCTCCCATGTATTATTCTTCTCAATCATTTTAATCTCTTCTTCCATAGCCTTGACCAATGCTTCTTGGTTTGCTGCCTCTTCAAAGCTTTCTGGTTCAAGTATGACCAAGTTGCAGGTTTCATATATATCTACCAGCGATCTAACTCATCTCGGAGTAGACCCAGGTAATGATTCTTCTTGTTCTAGAACTATTCTTGGAGATTTTGGAGAGATAACAATGTCTTGATTGTTGTCTTCCAGACTTGATGTAGTTGGTTGATTGATGGGCATGTATATAGTCTTCTTCTCAACGTTCTTCTTCCCAGTTCCAAGTAGCATTTTCATCTACTTCAATATCTCTATTGATTGTTAGCTTCTTTGTCTGAAGATTGTAGACTCGGTAGCCTTTTGATTGTGAACTGTATCCCAAGAATATGCCTCGTACGGTCTTGTTTTCTAACTTATGCCTTTTTTCATCTGGCACATGAATGTAGTAGATAAATCTAAAGACCCTTAGGTGCTTAGCTGATGGCTTCTTCCCGCTCTAAGCTTCTATTGGAGTCTTGTCCCGAACTGCCTTAGTAGGACATCTGTTGAGTAGGTAGACTGCTGTGTGGACTGCTTCAGCCCATAATGTATTCGGCAGTCCTTTCTCCTTCAACATTGATCTCGCCATCTTCATGACTACGCGATTCTTTCTTTTTGACACACCATTTTGTTGTGGAGTATATGCGACTATAAGTTGTCGCTCTATGCCTTCATCTTCGCAAAATTTGTCAAACTCGCGAGATGTATACTCCTTGCTACGATCACTTCTAAGTACTTTTATTTGTTTTCCACTTTGCTTTTCGAAAAGGGGCCTTGAATTTCTTAAATATTCCAAAGACTTCTAACTTTGTCTTTAGAAAATAGACCCACGTCATTCTAGAAAAGTCATCAATGAAGAGGATGAAATACCTGTTGTTGGTGTGTGATGGTGTCCTCATCAGTCCACAAACATCTGGATGAATTAGCTCTAACAAGTCCTTAGCTCTCCATGCTTTGCCTGTCGAGAACGAAAATCGGTGTTGCTTGCCGAGAAGGCATCCTTCACAAGCTTCATTATTTTCCTTTAGGTTAGGTAGATCTCTCATCATACCTTTCTGATGTAGAAGCTTTAAGGCATGAATATTGAAATGGCCAAATCTTCGATGTCAGAGCCATGAGTCATCAACTATGATGCACGGATACGATACGCGTATCGGATACGGCGATATATCAAATTTTGAAAATATAGGATATGATACGTTTAGGATACGTATTAAAAAAAATTAAATTAATATATATAAAATAGTAATTGCAAATATATATCATTCAAAAATCAAAATTAAGAATATATTTCTTGCTTTTTAAATTTTAAATATTACTAAAAAAATTATAAATCATTTTTTATTGTCAAGAAATAGGAATAATATCAATTTCATCCCCTCATTGACCATCATTTGTAAATAAGACAGCTTCCATTTCTGGTTCATCAAGAGATAATGACGCCACTTCAAGATTTTCAACACCATCAAAGCTACCTCATGCATCTCCATCAATGTCCCACATTCTAGTACTCCCTTGCATATATTCTTCACTTTTCCTAGACAAGAGTCGCAAATTAGTATGTACATAAACCAAGTCTTCTGCTCTTTTAGGGTTCAACTTATTTCTTTTCAGGGAGTGAATGAAGGAATAAGTACTCCAATTCCTTTCGCAACAAGATGAAGAACTAGGTTGTACAAGAAGCTTTAAAGAAAGCTTTTGAAGGAGAGGGGTAGAAGAACCATGCATTACCCACCAGGATTTAACATCTAATGTCCATCTATCTTCAATTGAGTCAAAAGAAGCAAAATTATGAGCTTTTGATGAAAAATAAGCATATTCAAGAGAAACCTTTCTTCTTTCTTCAGTTGTTGTGAAAAGCTTTTTTAAACATTTATTTCTTTCCATAGAAATTTTTTCATCCTCATGTGGGGAAATTCTATTAGGAGCCTCTTGAAGCCATCACTGTAGTACCTGTAAATAAATAAAAAGTTAATAAATAAAAAAATTTAGTAACTATCAAATTATTTATAAATAAGTAATGAAAACAAATAAAAAATATTTAATAGGCTAATTTTACCTAGGATTCAAAGAGTGAGCCATGGAGTGGAGAGGGGTGCAACTCTTAGTCCACCTATCAATTAATATAGAATAATCAACTTCATAAAATGTTGATGTATCATTTAACTTTTTTCCTTCATATCTATATATAGACGTCTTTACTTTTTCTATGATACTATCCCACATCTCATAGATCAAATGAAGTGTGGGACTATCTGTGTCACAAGCCCTAAGCACTCTACACAAGTACAAGGTAAACTTTCAATTTTCAACCTAGGTTTCACTTTTGGA